GGGGGGGGGGGGGGGGGGGGGGGGGGGGGGGGGGGGGGGGGGCAGCGCTCTGTCCCGTCTTGGCAGCCGGGGCGGACAGCGGGCATGTGAGTGACATGTCGGCCATGATAGCAGCCCAGGAAGAAGGAGGGGGAGGGGAGGCTGGGTTCAGATGAGGAACCCCTTCCCCAGCCCGCCCATCACCGCCCTCTGTCCACAACTTTCCTTCGATTATCAGGTCGCCGCGCGGCGCGGCCGTCAGTCATTTCAGATGTTGATGTCTCGGACGTCTGTCGGAGTGCAGGACAGGTCCACGTCCTCGTCCACGTGTTTGCTTTCTGTCGTGCTGCTGTGCTGCTGAGCCTGTCGCAGGCTGGACTCCAGCAGGGACTCGATCTGCTCCTGACACGACCGCAAGCAGTCCTGCCGACACGAGATCAACAGTGAGTGAGTCAACACGAGCACGCTGCCAACATCAAGAGCAAGCAATGGCTTTTTCCACATTCAAATATGGCTTTGGGAGAAAGTGTGTTTGCATACCGGGTCACTGCGGATGACCTGCGACAGGAAGTTGGTGAGGTTCTGGGAGGACAGCGAGGCGTCCTGGCTCTTCAGGTAGAGGCCTTGAACAGCTGCCACCACACTGCCCGCTGCCACCATGGACGGAGGACTGGCGATGAAGTTGACATCTGTGGAAACAGCACAAGCACGTGTTACAACATCCAACATCGACAGCACAGACCACCATTATGCAACACCACATCTACTTTACTTCAAACATAGGAATAGAACTCTTGTTAATGAAGCCTACGAGTTCCTGATCCATGTGCACTGTTGGAAGAGATGCCTTACATTTAACTAATATAAACTGACTCCAGACCAGACAGATCTCTTCCTACATCCTCCAACAGGACAACAACACATGACTATGCTCACACAATGCTACACATCTGCCCCTCTGGACCTCCAACATTTATTAACTAATAATGACAACATGGTCAGATCAGAATAACAAACTAGCTGGGAGCGTAATCCCAAACTGGGGCTCCAGAGCAGCGTCAGTGAAACCCTAATCAAGCCTGTCTGAGACCTGCGTCACAGAGAAAGAACAGCTAAATACACAGGAAACAGGCAATATTACATCTACAGATAGAGGAGATGAAATATTGTTAAATATATAAGAATGATCATCCAGTAGATTTACTGTAACATGAACTTGTATTAAGACATAATGTTCATATCCTACCTGTGGCACAGAGAGCCACGAAGGTCTGAGCGTGTTTCCTGAGGATCTGCTTGGTGGACGGGTAGATCTTCAGCTTGGACAGGAAGTGCTCGATGAAGTCGTGAGGCGTGACTGAAGCCAGGTCCCACTTCAGCTTGTTGAGAACCAGCAGCTCCATTTGCTGTGGACAGACCAGACCAGAGGCATTCACTCAAACAGACCCAGAACAAGCAGCACCGAAATATGGGCTTGACTTTGTTCTGATACCATCTTAGTTCATGGTTCTGGCTTTCCTTCTTCCTTCCTTCCCTGTAGTGCCCAAAATAGTTCAGCTACTCAAAAATGTATTTTGATAAGTTGCTATGCAAGTTTACTAGATGCATAATCTACTTGCTCAATGATTTGTTTTTATTATTTATTGATTACTAAACTAGATATAAATACCACACACACACACACATCAATACAGTAACACATGCATGTCTCTGTTGTGTGTGAATATGACATATCACACACACACAATGATCCGCCAGTGCCTGTAGTTCTTCATGTTCTCTCGTTGCCAGCAGCCTGCACCTCTTTCTCGTGGCCACTAGGTGTCGCTGTGAGTCCGTGTTTTTTTGGCAGTCACTGAGACCATTCATGAAATGAGAGAGGCCTCGAAGTCGCCATGGGAAAGTCACAGGCAGCATTCAGACCGCTGCCCCAAAGCTACATTTCTACCTTTTCTCATGTCAACCAAAGGATTTTTCTCAGATACAGTTTGGATATTTTATGAAAATGTTGACACTGACAAACCAGAAGAACTACAAGCACTCTGTCGGTGTGTTCCTGTCATGTGGTCTCCAGTGAGTTCTGCTCATGTAGGCTACTGTATGTGTTACGCAACATCCATGTCTGCAGAACTCAATTACCAGCAGCTCTCCGGGCTGGACCGAGTTGTCCGTGTAGATGCAGAGTTTCTCCGCCGTTAAGGGAACAGTTTCCTTCATCTTGGATGCCAGAAACATGCACGTGGCTCCCAGCAGCTGTAGTCTTGTTTTCCTGGTGGCCTCCACTGATAAAAATCGGTCCAAATAGTTCATAGCCAGCGGAAAAACCTCCTCCTCGCATTTCTGTTCCTCGCAGACCTGGAGGTGAGAAAAGCACTTATTGGTTGCTGGAGGAAAAGCCCCCATTCACATGCACTGTTAAATCCTCTCCCCCACCGACTCTATACGTCTCATTCCGTGCACAGCTGTTCGCATTAAATCATCCGAACATGAGTGAAAAGGAATTAAACATTTCGTGCATCTAATTCACTCGAGTTGAAATATCCCGTGTTCAGCGCTATTTAATGCAAACACAGCGAACACGTTTAAAAGCAGAGTATGAAACATTTATTAGAGTAAGTAAGAAGTGTGCAGTCAGTTCTGACTGAGACACAAAGGTGGCGTCGATGCGAGTTTCACTCTGCAATTTCAACTTCGTCATCTTTTCATAAAATAATTAGAAATATTTAAAAATTACCAGGGTGCGCACAATTATCATGTAAATGATGCTCATCGAATGCCTGTTCGGATGACAGTACAATGTGTCGAATTGTGACACAGATGGATTCAATAAAAAATGTTTTCTCAGACTGCTTATTGGAGTGCTGCAGGCGACACTTCCCGTCGGCTCTCCGATGCACAATTTCAGAAATTAATATAAAATATAAAACTACAAAGACTTCAATCCAATAGTTCATGTTAATGTTAAAACACATGTAATCTATCAAATCCGACTCTTGAAATGGACAGAATACGTTCGCACTTTGACTAAATGCCCTTTTTCCTGAGCGACCTTCACACACACAGCAGCGACGCTCGTGAAGCAAAACAAACTTTTCCAGTTGATACCAGTCCATCGAGCTGAAGCAGCCCCACCAACCCGCCTCATGGTACAGCAGCATTTTCGGCTGATTGAACCGAGTTACTGTCATTGCTGCTGATGTTATAGATTTTTAATGATATTAAAATCCTTCTCTTATACGACAACAAAGATGGCGCGTAATACTGGCACGGGCCAGACTGCATACGTGTACATTGCTGTTATTTTGGAATATTTTCCACATGTAATTACATTTCATAACCTTCTGTAAAATGTAGGCTAAGACATAATCAATAAGAAAGGTGTACAAAGTGAGTGCGGTCCGGAGCCAATATCGCATCTTATAGCCGAAGGACCACCCAGCACTCGTGAGGACAGACTTTTCAAAGCGTTTATGTAACGTGCACAGTGAATTAACACACATTAGCCTCTCACACACGCACAGCTTTCACCTTTACACTAACTCATCATGTTGTGGAAACAGCCCGCATACAGCAAGCGACAAACCAACAAGTTAGCAGCGACACTCGGCCACTGAAGTCGAAAGTTGAAGTGAAGTAAAACCAACCTCTAGCATCCAGGTGGCAACTATTTTCCTCATTTTGGGTACAATTTCTTTCTGGACACACTTGAAGTAGTTTGGCGACGGCAGGTAGTTCTCCTCTGCCTTCAGCATGGTGTGGAGAACTCGGTCGTTGAGCAGGTTGACGTCCTGGTAGGCTCTCCTGATGGAGTCCACCTCGCAGCACAGCAGCTGGTCCTCCATAGTGGGCTACTTCTGGTATTAGGGTTATTATCACCGTCGATGTAATGTGTGTTCTCACCCTGTCTCAGTACGTCTGTATTACTGAGGAACCGGCTGCGGCAGACAGAAGGCTGCAGTCCGCTGATTTTAAATCACTTTCTTCTTGCTGGGCTGCTGCCGCTGCGAACTGTTGCTCCTCCGGTGTGCGCGAGCCCACTGAAGCACAGAACGCTTCCTTCTGCGAGACAAAAACCCCTGCCTCGCGCTCAGCGAACACGCACAGGCTCACACTCACACACAGCACGCGCGCCCCGGAGAGGGGGAGGTGGAGGGGTGCGTGCGTGCGATGACGTCAGCTGTTGTTAGGAGGGAGGGAGGGAGGGGGATCAAAGAGACAAGCAGGCTGCTAGGGAGCGCGCGAGGAAGGGATTCTATTATATATATATTGCGGCAGACAGAAGGCTGCAGTTATATATATATATATATATATATATAAAAGGAAAGAGAGAGCGAGGGGAGGACCCCCACCCCCAGTTTTTGAGCAGGAGGTGGGAGGTCCGGGGCCGACTCTGGGGGACGTCTGTCGCCGGTGGAGGTTGGCAGCTTGGCGTCGGTAGGGGGCGATAACGGCTTTACACCGCTTCTTCCTCTGTCGTTACCAAAGACTCAATGAAAGCAGCAGCTCTCTCAACAAACTGTGCTGAACATGAGGTGAGCACATGGGACAATAGTGCAGTGTGAAACACACACACAGTAGGCTGCTGCGTTATTTACCTCCAGTCATTCCTACTTTAAATAACACAGAGAGGTTAGGATGAGCTGTGGGCTATTAAATCACCCAATCTCTGTCTGTAAGCATGGCAAACATTATTATCAACACAAATCTAGCTGTATAACATCTGTAATGTAATGCATTATATGAATTGTTGAGCACTGTAAACTCCCTGTGCACAATTCAGTTAAACAGTAACATGGACAACACAAACCAATCAAACGGGGACCGTGGTCTAAACGGAGCTGGTTTGAGATCTGATGAGTCAACATCTGTAAATGGGAACCCCACAGTTAGCATTTTAACTCTATGTCAAATGTATTATTTGATCAATTATTAACGTAATTGAGAAGTATGTGTGTGTGTGTGCGTGTGTACACTACTGACCATTACAAAAGTAAATTTGCAGTGTAGCAGGAACTGAGTTGAACGTCAGCTTAGTTTGCTTTGTAAGGCTGGAGTGCAAATAGTAAAGTTTAAAGACTTGTTCTAAAACACATTCTCTCTCACACACACACACACACACACACACACCCACACACAAACGGGAGGAGACTGGAGTTTCACCAATGGGAGGAATTGCTGTTACTAGGCAGATGTCGGTGCAACTTTTCATGTGGGGAAAAGTTTCATGCACTGGAAAAATTGGCATAGTTATTGATCACCCAATCAAAGTCCCTTAACATAGTATAGTCTTACACATAATCAATACAGGCATTATCTACTGATGCTTTATGAGCGTATATCCCTGCTGCTCTGTTGTTTTAGGAGAGGACAGCAGGAGTCATATTCTGACATTTACAACTTGATACAAAGTATATTAATCACACCCTGTGAGCACGTATTTAGTTGCTCAAGTTAAAAAGCAGCATTTAGTGTGAGGTTGTGCACATTTGAATGTAGTTTCAATATGAATCAGAGCGTTTCACATTCCTGGAATTCCTCTCTGGGCTATTGGGTGTACTACCGTAATGCCTGAAGAGGGTTACACTTCTGTGGAAAGAGCCTGGAGTCACATCAGAACATATCACCACTTTGTTGTAGTTGTTGTTCATATGAGGGATCCAAAATACAATATGATTCTGTTCAGCAAAATATGTATTTACCATGCATTTGCATCTGTAACCGAGTTTTAAAATGTGCTGATTTTTCCAAACATTTACCTTCTGTTTACCTTCCTTTTGCACTTTATGTTTGGAAAACCTCTCAACAGTGTTATGGATCATTTCAATGTTTCCCATGCATACATTTTATTACATTATCTTTGTTTTGTTTTGTGATTTCCTCTTTACAACTGGACCTCCCATCAATACGATTACCACTGTACCATTCTTATAAAAGAATACTTTCTTTTCACCATTATAAGCCCTTTTGATTGTCTTAGACCCTTTAACAAATTGTTTATCACTCAAGTACTTTCGTTCATATAGCTTATGTAACTAGGGAAACGTTTTTATCAAATTCCTCTTTTATTTAGTTCTTTTAAGATTGTTTGCAAATGACAAGGTGTTGGAAAACAGAATCGATATCCTGCAGACAGAGCGTGAGGAAACCTGGACCCAACAGTAGTTGTGATCCACTTCATTCCCCCTCATATATGTCCTTGCTCTGTCCCTCTCATGCACAGAGAGATAGAGGCTTTCTACTTGGAAACAAAGGGAGCTGGAGCATGTGACTTTTGCAGTGAGGCTCTTTTAGTAACTTTATGGTAACGGGTAGGGAGTGTTTAAAGGGACAGCAGAGAGCTGAAGTGAAACCAGCAGAGCACAGACTGGTTCAGACTACTGATCGCACGACCACGGAGCCCACGGCTGGAAAATAAATGATTTGTCAAAGACTAAACCAAGGTTATTCCTTTTTGCCCACTTGCAGTGTCTTTATTTTCATTGCTTCTTCAACACATCCAAACTGATATAACCACGTGTTGAACTTACTTGACTGCACAGGTTAGGCCACATACTTAAATATAATGTTGATTTTTTTTCTGTTAATTCAGTATTTCTTGTAGAGCAGGTAGTTGAAGAAATGTGACTACATTCTATACATGCCCCAAGAAAAGAAAAGGATAGAGGAATACAATATGATATGTATTATGATATGAGATGCTAATGATAACCCTATTTAGCAGCTAATGACTATCACCATCATAGTTAAGGAGTGGGCACAAAATAAGGCCTCTATTTCTTTACTGTGTATGATCACCTGATATAATCAGATGAAGGCGTTTACATGCAGAATTTTTCTGCACACAATATTTTATCATCCGAACTGAACAGTTCTCAACCATCACGCTGTGAATCAGAAAAGCGCTGCGACATCGACACATTTTAAATCTCTTTGCACACTGTACAAGCTAATACTTAAGTTAATGGTTGATTTGAGAGGTAATACTCCGCAGGAATTTCAAAGAGACGTATTAAACATTCTGAACATTGACATAGCAGCAAACAATGATTTGCTATGTAAAGATAGAGTCGAGTAATGTCTTCCTGGGCAGAGAAGAGAGATGCATGTGAGCGTGCCCCGCTGGTTAGCTCACAGCTGATAAGGCCGTTCCAACGGACAGCGTAGTCACAGAAGCGTCTACACTGTTAGCTCTGTCAGAACTTTCGCCATAGTTAGCACTGTTAGCATTGTAAGCTGTCAGACATGTTGAGAGCCGTTTAGAGGCAGTCCAAATGCTCCCAATCTCAGATATTGCGCCTTAAGTTTCCTGCAGGTTGGTCATTGCAGGTGTGACAAGTTTCACTTTGACGTTTCAGATCCATGTTTTCACTCAACTCTGAGGACTAGCACATCACATTTCCTAGCTCTGTGCTTTGGTTATTTTCTGTGACTTCAATCACGTAAAAGAAACATCAGTTGTCATCATCAAATTTTCTGTATCAATGATTCATTTATTACATTCATTACATTTAGCAGTTCTCGTGGGTTAGTTGGTGTGTGTGTGCTCACTCATCTCTCCCTCCTCAGACCCTCTTCAATGGTATTTGTAACCCCCACTCCCCAATTTTACTTCTTTCATGTGCACTTTCAACATCATGATTGCTGAATATTTTGTCATTAACTGTGTAAAAGCCTATTTGTTACACATCAAACATACACACACACACACATGTATATATACTTATTCATATAAATGTGCCATTGGATAAGGAAGCTATCAGACTGCAGCATGCATGCCCCAACAAGGAGCAAATTGATTCCATGGCTACTTCTTGTACATTATTAAATTCCTAATTATGTTGCTTACTTTTTTGTGTATATGAAAAAAAATTGACCTTGCTTTCTTTAATTTCTGCGACAAAGAAATATTGTAGAATAGTCCTGGTTATTCTGTTATCCTGTCTTCAACCAACCCTCAGCTTTAATACCTAAAAGCAAAGCAGTGTGTGTGTGAGCCTGCAGGAGTGTTGAAGTGGGGACATTTGTCTTCACCCTTGTTCTATGTCCAGCTTTGAAGTCCTGATGCCTCTTCATATTCTAAATATGACCTCCGACAACACACACACACACACATGGTATCTGTGTGAGGGCTTCCCTTCCTCCAGCCATCATCCAGAAGGACTGAGTGAAAGAGAGAAGGCAGAGAAAGAGGGCTCTTCCCTGTGAATGAAGCTCCTTTCTCTGCTGAGGGCAGATCCACAATGACCCTGTAAAGATGGATAGGGAGATTGTCCTGTGAAGTGATCCGCGAACACAGATAGGCGGGGGTCAATCCGGGCGTGTGTGTGTCCGTGTGTGTGTGTGTCCTGCACCACAACAAACCTAACAGCACCTCTGGTCTGGCTAGATGGGTGGGTGCTATAGGGCCAAGGGCAAGGATAAGAGGAAAAAACCCAGCACAATGGGTCAGTGGGAGTTTGGGAGGGGGGCAGGGTGGGTTGGAATGCATGCATCCCATATCACACACAATTTGAGTCTACAGGGGGCTGCTTTGATAAGTATCTCTAAATGAGATTCATGCTAACTACGAGTTAAGCTTTGACCAGCTAATATTTTACATACACTTTACTCAGGGGTTACTCAATGAGGCTTTTAAAACACATTTTCATCTTCATCGAAAATTTTCATCTGTCATTTCTATCTCAGTGTAACACATTATATTGTGCTGACAAAAAGTTGCTCAAACTTGTACCCATTAATGTTGCATTCACACTGTATGCTGTTCCTAAGAGCCTCAGGTAGGTGTTTCTCTCCTGGCACACAATAAGTGATTCATCCTGTGGATAAGAAAAGAGAAGTGGATAGTTTACATGAGCCCTCATGGCTCAGCAGGATACAGGACACAGGTAATAAAGGCCTCAAGGCGCATATGAAAGTGCATGCCCTTCTGATCTCCCCAATGCTTTAATGCGAAAGGGACTCGTCACAGCATTTAGCTCATTTAAATGTGAACATGGCAATTAGTGGGTCTGCTCACTGCAGTGTTGTAGTGAATGGCCACCTAAACTGAGACCAAGGCTACATCCACACTAATACGTTTTTGTTTTAAAACCAGGGTTTTAAAACA